TGTAAAAGATCTTACTTATTGTGCGTTCCACATAATGTACGTAGACTGAGTGATAATCTGTTCAATGCCATTGTATTAATATGCAGAAAACCTGTCAACTATTAAAATATTGCATTCATGAAGCATTCTGCAACATGAGTGCTCTAATTATAACTAGTTAGCTTGTACTTGTGTAGAATTAAATAGTTGACCTGGAGCTTATAGCTGTTTTGTATAGTGTGGCTCAGGGAGTTTGAATCTATCTTCTCATGTTCCCTTTAGTTATTTGTATGGTTTGCAACTTGTACTAAAATAATTCAGTGGAAAATGAATCTTGCATTCTTTGTGTTACTATTGTTAAACCAAAACATCACTAGGAATATTTGTCTGGCTCACATGAGTCAGAAGTGTTCCCTACTAGAAGGGGTGTCAGTCTCTTTCCTTTTTAGTTCAGACTGTTAAAAATAACTAATCTTGCAGTGAAATTGATTAATTTTAACTAAGCAAACAAACAGAAGCTTCTAAATATATGTAGTTTTATTTGACAGGAAAAAAAAAGGGGTGCAAAATAAGAGCACCAGAAGATGGTTACAGTCTTTGAAAACTAGAGGCACTACTTATGTTTAAGGCACAAGGGGTTTGTGTAGAATGTTTATTGTGTATAACGTTTATTGAAGTTAGTCGTATAAACTCTATATGCTTTGATGAATGGATACTTGATACATGTTCTGATTAGCAAAGGATTATGAATTGGCTTTTGCTTCTTTGGACACAGGAGGGTAATATACCCCATCATCTGGGTGTTTACATAATTTGTTTCTATAAACTTACCTGGCTCTGATCTAGTGTCTTAGTATTAAAGTGTATGATTGTGAAGTAGGATGTATGAATACAGGCTGATGGAACTGTGTAAGAGATGGCAGCAAGTGGCCAGAGATCTATTGCTCCTGCATGCACTTATTTTCAAAAGAGTGATACAGACTTTCTTTGACATAGATGGCTTTAGTGAGGATTTCAGAAAATGTGCTTTGATTCCCGCAACATATGGATACTGCGTTTGGCAATTTACAGCTGCATGGATTGTTACAGTCATAGAAAGTACAAAAATGCTTGGCAAAGGTCATAGAGCAATATGCTTTTGAAGAACTTGAAGCAAGCTAAAATGCACCTGTAGCTTTTGCTTTTGAATTTTTGTTCATCTTTTCCTCCCCCTCCAACCCCTTTTTTTAGATGGCTCCTAGCTATGCTGGTGTCTACACTGTGTAGCATTGTCATCTGGTGGATTGTATGTGGCTCCCTTCTGCCCAGCCTGCTATTCTGTCTAGATGGTTTAAGAACATAGTAACCATCAGGACCCCCTGAGAGAGAGCCACTGTGTAAGTGTCCCATTCCATTTCTCTACAATAGCTCACACTTTCTGTCAAGTATGTCTCATAAATGCATGTTTTCATATCATGTTTCTTACTGGCTTTGTTGCAGGAGTAAATTTCACTGCTCTGGCTTTGTTGTATTTTTGTATATATCGTTTGTAATAACTGAGTGGTTTTTATGGCTGGCTTGCAATAGAAAAGATGCAGAGCTGTTATAATTAGAATAATTTATAATTTGAAGCCTTTCTTCTCTGCATGCTTCTGCAAATGTGCAAAATTATATAAGGAAAACTGTATCTGTACAAAGGAAAAAGTACTGCATTAAAGTGTGATCCTATCCTTTGCATATGGCAGATTAGGATGTTAGCTTCAGGTTTGCTTCGAAATTCATGAACTTGCAAAGGAAGTTAGTTTCCCAAAGGATGGTTTTATTCATATAAAATGACAGGAATTAGAATTTGTTAGAAATGTCAGTAGGTCTTCGTTTTCACTAAGAGATTAAACATTATAAGCCATGTCATAAATCAGGCCTTCTTTTTTTCCTTTTTAACATAACAGAAGATGGGGCAGGTTGCAGTGTTAGGTCAAGCCTTACTTTCTACCCAGCCAATCTGTTCTCATCTTCTTTGGTTCTCAGTTATTTTTATAGAGTTTTATGAGTCTAGTTAAATCCCTTTATTCTGTTGCTTGGATTCAGAAGCTGAGTAAAGCATTAATAACATATCAGTTCCTTGAGTACAGTTTTCACTCTTTCTTCTTCCTGCTTTAGTCAGAGTGGCTGGAG